TAAAAGAAGGTTGTATTAAAAAAGTTCCATTAAATTTTACGATTACGGAATCCAGAATTTTATCCATATACAGTGACGAGCATATAAATAGGGAAACTTGTGTGTGTGATGAACGGTATAACTTTTTTAAAACTGGGCCTGAATTCGAATCTCCACTTGGACTTTTTTAGATGTTAGAGTTATTTGGAATGACAAAAAAAAAATATAAACGAAAATTTAAAAAATGCATTTTGTAGAGCTCGCTAATTTATATGCATACTAAAATTCGCGAAATACTGCGATTTTCGTGATCTTTAATTGTTCAAAACTTCTGTCAAAGATCAACCGATTTCGATGAAATTTTCATATAAGTTACCGAGACCTAAAAGATGCATTTTTTAAATTTTCATTATCGGCTCATGATAAAAAAGTTGAAAGACATGAGTTTCTTAATCTTTTTGTCATTCCAAGTAATATCAAAATCATAGTCATTGTCTATTAGACTGGGCCTTTTATAATCTGAAAAAATTCAAGTTTTGAAAATATTATACCTCTATTTATATGTTCACCACAGTATATAACTTTTACATACATATCATTGAAAAAAGAAATAAAATAATTTATATTGCTTTAAAATCAGTGTTCAACCATGTTGGAAGAATTGTAAAATTTAGCTATTGCATGTGGCGATTTATAATGAAAAGCTAAAAATAGTCAAATTTGGCATCCGATACCCACGACGCACAGCGTCCATACAAACAGCGGAAAGAAACATATAACAGCTAAAATTATATATTTAAGCCTTACTTTTTCATTTTATATTAGTAGTACATGTATTTGGGTTTTTGTTGAGTTAGAATAATGAAAACAAAGTACTTTAATTGTTTATATACAAATTTTTTAAAAATACAATACATTATAGAGATATTTTTTAAACTGTCTTTTTTTCACTTTTTCTATAAAAACCGACCACTGTGCAACGTCTCTAACATGTTGCTATAATCCAAGAGATTAAATACTATTTTTTAACCCTAATTTTTCTACATAACATTTTACATGGAATCGTCACAAACGGAACAAAACCTCGACATCAATCTCACCATGTGCTGAAACTTCAAGTTGTGTACCTATATTTACCTAGTTCTACAAAACAACCCTTGAACCCCTCACAAAAAATCCCTATCGCATTCTGAAAATCAATCACCCAATGTCATCTCCAAAATTGTCTAAATAACCCATCAATGTCACACTGCTGCTCATTTTTCCCGAAGCCCTGTCAAATCCCTCGAAAATTCCCGTAGCCCTGTGGATCTGGCATTTAGGGCCACCACCATAGATTCCGGGCGGCCCTCGGTCCGGTAACGACCATCTGGTATCTTATCGTCTCATCTTCGAGAACATGAAGGGAATTCTCGTAAACCGTGCACGTGGTACCGCGTAAGCCGCTGCATCGGCTCCCAAGGGTATAATTCCATATTCGAGGCGTGTTCCCCTCGCGATGGCATCCAGCAGCGACGCGTCCTCGTCCCGCGAACCGCAGCGGCAGAGGTCGGTTGACCTTGTGCAGGGTGAAACTGTTGGAACCACTTCAAGCCGGAGAGCCCGTTAAAGCCGATAGACGCATAAAGTTCGTGGCTAACGGGGTAGCTTGTAATCTCTGGTGTGCTCGCTGCAAGGCGGGCCTCCATTGTCTCTCGCCTAATGCCGGCGAGTACATTCCAAGTGTACAAGCGTTTAAAGCATCCCCGTCTGTTTGCTTTGATTCCGCGGACATGCCGCTTGTCCGGCGGCTTCATTATCACTGGACCATGGCACAATATTGTGCCACTCTTCAATCTCACCGAGCAGCGCGCGGAAATAATCGCGCGGATGATTGTCCGGGCATCAATTCCCATCGGCGAGCCCCAGGCCGGTTCGGCTCGAGCGCCGCTGTTTTCGACATCGATGGCCTTCCACTGCCTCTTCTTCGTCTAATGGACTGCAGAGCCATGATAGCTGCAAATTGGCAAATTATGGAAAACGTTTGGCTCACTGTTCCGCAAGATTCTTGCTGGAGAGTCCGTTTGAAATGATTCTGCCATAGTTCGTGCTTAAGTAGCTGTATCTGGATCGTCCTGGAAATTATGCGAATCTTGTTTCGTGTTTCTGGAATACTCATTTCGGGGATATGTATGTATAAACTAACGCTTCGATCGTCACGACAATAATCTCGAAAATTCCATAAAATTAAAGCATTCCATTTAATCAAATTAAAATTGAAAAGTTAAGTTGTATAACACCAACGACTTTCTCGAAACATTATGAAACAGTTAATGATTAGCGTAATAATTAAGCTTCAAATTTGTGCAGATAATTCTGGAGCCCACATATGGGTGACGTGACAGTTAAAGTGTTAAGGGGACGACATGCAATGCTAGTTTGGTTGATCATTGAGCATGGTGTAAGAAGGAGAGGTGAACTGACTGCAGATACTGTGACAATTTATTGCAAAGTGAAAATTTACTTGGATGAGTTCCTGCGAAAGGTGCTAGTGAAACTCACCAATACATTGCTTTGTTACATTATATTTTTATAAGTGTACTACTGGTACGCTAGTGTTACTGCAGTGGAGATCGCACACAGACACGCACGCACGCACAATAGAAATTCTCATCGATAGTACGAAAGTTTCACTGGAGCACCTATATATATAGCGGACTACATTAGAAACTTTTAAGATCACAGGAGTAGAGACGAAGTCGGTTCATTTCTCCTTCTTACACCGCGGTATACACTCCCGCCCAATGACTTTTCATCATCTATCATAAAAATTCTATAAAATCCAAAGTGTAACTCGCGTTCAAAATATCGTACAGAGATCTACACGTCATTTTCAAGGTTTCTTGACCATCTTTCGAGTGAGTTTTATTACGATACCGGTTAATTATTTCCTCTATAATTTAATCGAAGCTGAAGCGACAACAAAAATTCACCTTTAACAGATCCTTCTCAATCCCGCTCCATTTATCGAAAAATTTTTTTTTAATAAATCTTACAATATCAATTGAAAGGTACTTTCAAGACCTTTATTTTAACCACTGGATTGTAGTTCTACGATCTATTTTAACAAAGTTATGGCGATTTTAGTGGGAAATTTCACTTTTCACGAAAATAGTCATAGCTTGAAGACTTTGACTGATAGAGAAAAATTTTATATAAAAAAAAGTTACATTTTGCTTGTATAATGCACACCTTCAATACCAGATGAGTTATTTATAAAAAAAATTTGTTAATTTTTCATTTAAGGATTTCATAATTCCTTGCGTTTCGAGGACTTGCGTTTTATAGGACACTAAATACAAAACTCATGTTCACGAGCCTCCGAGAAAATATTTTGATAAACTAGAAAAAGGAACCTCATTAAATACTTAATATTCAATATAATAATAATAATATATTATATATAATATGTGTAATGTAATATTATAATATGTAATATATAAAATATAACTATAATAATATATAATATAATAGTAAATATATAATAATAATATATTTAGTGTATATAATAATATTTTACTCATCCGATGACAAGATAGTTTTCGAAACGCAAAGAATTATGAAATCCTTACTTGAAAAAATTACCAAAATTTTTTTCAAATAATTCGTCTCGTATTATACAAGCAAAAGGTAACTTTTTTTTTTATATGAAATTTTTCTCTATCAGTCAAAGTCTTCAAGCTATGACTGTTTTCATGAAAAGTGACATTCCGGTGGTTAAAATGATGGTCTTCAAAACACCTTTCGAATGATATTATAAGATTTATTGAAACAAAATTTTTCAGAAGATGGAGCGGGATTGAGAAGGATCTGTTAAAAGTGAATTTTTGTTGTCGCTTCAGCTTCGATTAAATTATAGAGGAAATAATTAACAGGTATCGTAATAAAACTCACTCGAAAGATGGTCAAGAAACCTTGAAAATGGCGTGCTGTAAATCTCTGTACGATATTTTGAACGCGAGTTACAAAACTTTGAATTTTATAGAATTTTCATGATAAGTGGGCAAAAGTCATTGGGCGGGAATGTAAGGTAAGCAGAATTATTAGTTTTACACTAGAGAATCTCCATGTACAACACAATTTATCGTAAAAGTCATGAAAGATTTCATTTAGCAATGTATCTAGGGATATAAATAGGAAAAGTTACTTTTGGATACAGTATTAAATGAATTCTTATCTCACTAAATTAAATCTTTCATGACTTTTACGATAAAATGTGTTACACGTGGACCGTCTTTGATCGTGTAATTTACATGTTATACGTGATTCAATAATAACTCGGATATCACAAGTTCGGATTATTGAAGCTCTACTGTAGTCAGCAGGGTATAAGTGAAAGTATATAAAACGCTAATATTTGCGATGATGTTCTTGTATTTCATTTTGTAAAAATACAATTTAAAATCATTAAATATCTCATTCAGTACCGTATCTACGGAATAGTTACATTTAGATACGATACTAAATGAACTCTCATGTTCTCATAATTTGTTCTGATTAGGGAAGAGTTTACTTTTAGATATGATACTAAGTGAAATCTTCATTGATTTTTACAATAAATTACACGCTAATCATGTTAGATCGCGAAATTTACACATCAATTGTCATTAAATCATAACTCAGATATCACAGGTTCGGAAAACGGGCGTTCAACTGTATTACAGGGGATGAGAAAATATGTAGAGAACTAATAGTTGCGACGATGTTTTTGTGCTTAATTTTCTAAACTCAGGACCTTGGCGTTGCTTGTGGAACGATCCAGTCTGAGCTTATCCTGAACCAGTAGACAGCGGATCTTTCTGCAGAATACAAAATAATATCACTTACTCATGTTCGTTACGAATGCATAAAATCCGCAGTCTACTGGTAACTTAGTTCTAGAGACGAAAATACAAGCGAATCATGCGATCATTATCGAGCACTATACAACTAACAATTCTCTCTTTCCTGCTGCGTATCGATCGGGACGATCGATGGATCAGGCCGCGCGACCCTCCACGAGTGGGCGATCATCTTCTACGGAACGTCAACGCTACCCGATCGGACAGAATACGCTTTATACAGCCCGGCCAGCATGAATATTCCCAGAAGACCGTTCGTGAAGCCCCGGGAGACAGTGTTCTCGAAGTCACAGAACTCACTGACAGGCTCGAAGAGCAAGCAGGCTCAGCACAAGTCGGAGAAGTCCGGTAACCTGAGTCCGCCTTACGTGGTAAACGCGCAAACGCAGACCCAGAGGAAGAGCAAGGCCCGAGGACAGCATAAGAACGGTAAATCGGCGAACAGGCCGACGCCCAAGCCGACGGTTCAGACTCTGAGAGGACTGACGGCGGCCAGGGGGCCTAACATCGCTGGAGAGGTTCGCCTGATCACGTCGAGACCTCGAGGAAGGAGCACGCCGAGTCCGATCACCAGCACGGTCACCCAGACCAGGCCTACCATCACCGTCCCGACCACCAGGATCACCAGCAGACAAAGAATCGTCGACATAGTGACCGCCTCGTCTCTTCAGAGGGGCTTAATCCTCCTGGAACCGCCTGCGAAGCCCATGATCGAGAACGTGCCAGAGATCTTCCAACAATACCCGAAGATCCAAAAGCTCTACCCAATCTACCCTGTCTATCCCGGTGTCCGGGGAACTGGACAGCACGCGACCAGGGCCAAGGGGCTCGATCTGCTGCAGGACGAACAGATGTTCGATTCGAAGAACCTCGACAAGGGTACTCGAACACTGACGTTTCTCGTTAGCCTGAATTTATGATCCCTCGACGGGAAATCCGTGGATGTTGCTTTGCGCGTGCAGTTGCTGATCTCACGAGTCAGGGTTGGGCAAAAACTTAGATCTTTTTCGACTGATCTTCTTTTGATCGATCGAGGTTGCCACGCGTACAACGTCACAGAATTTCATAAAATTGTATTATTTCATTTAATCTCTTGCATTACGATTTTCTTGTACGGCTGCGTTGTCTAGCACTTCTTTTGGTTAAATAATATCTCTGTATAAAATGTTTATCGTGAGTCTGTGATTCGTTGTTAAATTAAAATTGAAAAGTAAAGTTGTGGGACATCAATTACTTTGTCAACATTCTTATTTGCGGATCGCAATGAATTTACGAGGATATAATAGATTAGCGCGAGAATTAATTTTTAAATCTGAACAAATAATCCCATTATTTACATATTGATGACGCGGCAATCAGAGTGTTAATCGATTAATGTCCAACTCTGAGAGACTCAACGTTTCTCTGCGAATCTCGTTACAGAGGGTTCTACTATGGTCTGTAAATTATATCGCATACTTGCGACAAAGTGACATAACTTGGAGATAAATGTTTCTCAAAAGATGTGAATTATTTTTGACCGTAATCAGGTATTACTTTTTGTTGTGACCCATGTACAAGTCAGAAATAGTTGCATAACTAGTTTATTAATTTTTGTTGTAAAATGTTTTTATATACCGTCTAAGAATGCAGTCTTTCTATCGCCTCAAAAAAATTCAAATCGTTTGGTCCAATTTAAAAATATTTATTCCGTTCTAAAAAGTGTTCGCATGTATTTGTCAAGGACTGCATTCGATACCGAGAGAAGACAGATATCAAACGTTTCACAGTTTCTGAAGTAAAAGGTGGATTTTCAGTCATTTCTAAGGTAGCAAATTGATAAATTTCACTAGTCTCTAAAGTAGCAAATTAATAAATTTCATTAGTTTCTAATGTAACAAATGTAAAAACTTCAGTAATTTCTCAAGTAGTAATGGATCGATACAGTTAATGAAGAAGAAGAAGAAGAATGCTCGTAAACGCCAGGCCGCAATTCACAATAAAATGCATTTATAGAATGCAGTCCTATGTCGCACGAAACGGGAAAAGCGGCATGGTCATTATTATCCAAATTATGAAGACAAATGAATAAGACTGTCATTATTTGTCAAGAGCTGTATCTGGAACATCCTCGAAATTCACGATTCCGGAATCGTTTGTCGACTGTCGAGTATGTCACTTTCGTCGCAAGCGCGACACCAGCAATTTGTTATTTCCGAGTTTGCATTTCTAAAGCACAAACATAGTAGCTAATGCCCTTGCACACATTCACGGATACGCCCCACGTGAGATTTACCGCCACGTCTTGCAACAGTAGTGAAATTTATGCACCCTTCTGTAATATTACAAAATTAAGCGATCTTGTTTGTAGAACTTGGTTCGCGGTGTTTCATTTTATTCCGTTTGCTGTGTAGCAACTGCACTTCGACCGTTTTTATTTCGCAAACAGAAGTTAGTTGATTTTGCTTGTGACCTTATGGATCCTGTAAAAAATCATTTCAGTACATTTGATTGTTGTTTGTTGAACAATTTTATCACGATGTACTGTTATTGTGTATTTTATACGGCAGTGTCACTATTACGTAGTCTCTTCTGTCTCACTTTGTAGATAGTGTTTAAAATACATCGATTGCTATGGTTCTAGAAGTTCTTCGAAATTGGAATTTCGAAGCATAACTCACCTCAATAACATAACTTTCTCCTCTGTAAGAAATAAAGTCGTAAATCAAATTTTGAATTCAGGAAAGTAAAATTTGCCTTTATTGAGAATTTTCCTACATTTAAAATTTTATTTTGGCGATGTCAAAATGGATAAATTGCTTTTTTGTTAACAGATTGTCGTTTATTCGTCAAAATGAATAAAAATTCTATATTGAGCCTTGCTTCTTTAATTACTACAATAAACAATGAACACTCTTTATGGTCTATCAATTTTTATGAATCTTTCTTTATCTCTGTCTTATATCATACTAAACAAATTAATTTCAATTAAAAAATACTGATAGAATGAAAAAATGATTTGATATTTCAATAATTCGTGGAACCATCAGCGTTTTTTGAAGGACAGATTACGAAACAGCTTGCGCAGTTTAAGAAAAGCTAGTATTCTCCTGTTGTTGCTTAATGTTTTTCTCAATGTTCCGCGAAGAAAATAGCGGAACTCACATCTGCATGCCATCTCGCACACGGAACCCGGTAATTATGACGCAGCGAACTTTTTCTCGCGTAATGATTGGAGCGCGGCTTCGTAAAAACTCCTACGTTCATAATAAGAAAACTTGTTAAGGTAGGTGTATGCAGGCTGTGCCATTTAATCAAAACTTTGAATGACTTCGGCACAGGTAATGCTTGTCTTCCAGAATCGCTTGTGTGCATGGGAATGTGTGTTCAGTAGAGACTCGTCTTAAGCCGTAGATTGCTATTTGAATCGCAGGTTATTTAGACTGTTCGAGTGCATCCAGGCATTCACTGGCACAGTCAAATACAAAGCTCCCTTCATTTTTTTCACGGTTCAATCTTACTTTACGCGCCCACTTGTTTCAGTAGCTCCTCGCGATTTCGTTCGCACCTGTGCTCGTCACAGCTACTTTATCCTTAATGACTCGCGAGAAGGAATAAGGAAACTCCACGTTTATTATGACACATTTATTATGCAGTCTGAATAGTCGGTAACCTAAAACGGTATTTCGAATCGTATTTGAATCCGTTATTGTAACATACGAAAATTAATCGACCAAGAAATTAACTCTTTACAGACAAAGATTTTTTGAAACATTTTGAATATTTTTCTAAAAAAATCAAAATCGCATATCAAATATGTAAATACAGTCTAAATAGAAAAATCAGAATTAAATGATATTAACGAGACAATTAAATTGCTTTTAAGTTATACATTAAGGGTTAAATCTTTGTGGTGTATGTGGATCTGGATCATGTACTAATTTAATTCTTAAACTTGCCAGCAAACGATTTGATTGTTTTAAAACATTATTTCTGATAATTTTATGAAAACAGTTTTAAGAAGTCGCTCCAGTTACAATAAAGTCTTCCTAATTGACTCTCAGTTTATATACAAAAATAGACAATCTGAGCGTCAAGTAGGGAGAATTTACTGTATTTTGACATGTCCTGAACTTTCATTTCATGTTACTTATCATGAAGTATTCTTTCACTATCTTCCCTGTAATGGGCATGTCCAATCACACATGCCCATTCAGATTAAACATAAATTTACATTTTCATTAATATCGAGCTTTGTATTAATAATTAGATTATCGATAAAACTTATTAATGTTTTTCAAACGTTTCCTTTTACGGGAAAACGAAAGTTGGATTGTAATGAAAGTATGCTTTTAATAATTCTGTTAACATCTGCTTGCTTCTCAAGCATACAATTAATTTCTATTTTACATTTTCACATCAAGTAGGATATTCATTAATTCGTTAAAAAATATAAAACTGAATTATATGTATGTCTATTAACCAGTACATGAAAATGCTCAATGTCCCAACCTCTGGGTCCTTGTCTGTGAAATCGCTATTTTCCTCTCATTTAAGACAATGTTCTCAAATTTATGAGTGAAAAATCCATAACGTTATGTATTCATTACATTTCATATAGTTATTCATTAAATTGGAAATTTTGTTAAATTTTGTAAAAACATAACTTCAGTTTCTTCATGGAAGCTTTCGCTTAATTTTACAGAAAACGCCAAAAATGTTCTGTATTAAACAGTTAATTCTTAATTATATTAAAATTCTTAATTCTATTGGTATTTCATTATTAATTATACAATTAATTCTTAATAATATTTTGCATTTATCTGGACTTGTGGTTTTGTCCGTGTTCCGAGATTCCTCTCTATGGTTCTGATTCTTGAGGGAACAAACGGATAAATTTCTAGATATCGTGGATATCGTTAACTTTTTGTCACGGGGTAAGGAACGCACGAGCTGTCCATTAATTGAATTTGCCGCAAGCTGTACTCCATGCAGCTGCACGGGGTTTTGTTTTTCGCGTAGCGAAGCTGAAATAAACTAGTTTGTCCGCGGTTACTCGGCCATGGAAATGAGGGTAAAGCGTTTAATGTGATTTCCGGTCTTGGATCATAAATGAACTGGGAAGTCCACTTATTGCTAGTTAGAAACTAACGGTATTGGTGGCACACGGTGTGTAACATTATGTGGTCATCGAGAATACCTGCGCAGAACAGTTCCCTTTACACCAAATTGCAATCGATACCAGCCGATTAGAAACGTTGAATCATAAATGCTTCACCTGAAACTCTTCGCCGAAATGTAATCAATGCGTGCACGGTAAATTATTCGGAAATACGTGACACGTTAATTAATAACTACGAATAGATTAATAACTAATACAGTAAATACAGTAAATACAGATAGTATATTTTATTTACTCTCTGACATTTTGAAAATATTCCTACTGGTTTAAATACTACCAATTCATTTAAATTATAAATACACAACATTTGGAGACGATTAATAACTTTCTCTGGTGCAATACAAATTTCAATTATGCACCAAGAAAATATTCTTGGCTAATAATTTATATTTTTATATTTTTATTAAGCTCGTCGAGAAGTATACCACCAAGTACACGAAAATATATGAAGAAGATATTAATACAAGAAATAATTAGTTTTCGTCTTTGAATGTCGCAAAATATAGAAAACGACAGATTTTTCAGAAATGATTTTGTCAAAATTTCTGTATCTCACCTTCATAGTTCCAAGCGACAAAAAGCGTCCGAATCTTACATAACGCAATTCAAATACACATGAATTCTAATAATTTCATCATCGCGTCTCCGATTGAAACTTTCTCGAGAGCACGTTTATTTGCTTCGTCGCGAAAATTCGTGTTATCTTCGAGTTTCGAAGTCAGTGAATTCTTGAGGTGAGTCAACAGCTTGGTTCTCGGGGACTTGCTGTTTGCAAAAAAGTTATCAAGGCGCTTACGGAAGTGGTAATCAGCTGGGAAGAGGTTTATGAATAAGTAGGACGAAAACGGAGTTCCGCGGCTTCGTTTGCACAGCTTTCGGATCGTTATTTCTTGAAAGCTCGTGGGAAACGACGAAAAAAGATATTTTATCACGAATGGGATCAATCGTGCGTGGCAACGTGGTCGTTGACGATTCCACGGACGAGACTGTTATTTAGCATAGTACTTGTCGATTGCGGTCGGAGCACTCAATTTGGTCTTATTAGAAGCTCTCCTTTCCGACGGAGGAGGGAAACATTCGGTTCCGGGAATTCAATCTAGCATGATTTCCGAAGGAGAATACAAGCGACCTGACCGAACGGAAACATCGAATCCGAGAGCTCTATCGCATCGGAGATTAAATTTTGATCGGCTCTCCTGCTCCAGGCGTTTTTATAGCGAGCTGTTTGCAGGACGTCATCCGTACGTAATTGCCCGAACACACCGAGAAAGAAAGCTACAAGTTGGTGTGTAATTTCCACGTGAATTATTGAGTTCCTTTTTATTTGCAGTTATACTATCTCCTAATATTATCTAATATTACCTGTGAGAGTTGTGTCTAGATTCTATACGTTTATATTGTTTTGTATATAGAAAGTTCCGAGCGATTTATTCAGTTATTAGTAGCAAATTGCATATATTTGATTTTTAGGATGATAATAAAATGTACTTATAATTGATAGCAAGCTTCCCGCTTTTCTTCCTTTTTATGAAATTATGAATGTATATTTTAGCATGTTGCATAAGAAAGATAAGCTGAGTTGACACTCGAAAGTTCATACATTTTTTTATGGACTACCTGTGATGTTATTTATTTGAGCGAATGCGTGTACATAATTTGATGTTTGTGGATTAATCAATATTTCTAGCGCATCCTTTACGAGTGACGTGTCACAACGTCGGTAGGAGCAAACATAACCATTTTTCTTCCACTCGGTTTTAGCATGATTACACATGTATTACATTCTTATTATTTTTAAGCTTACTCTTTAGATTGAAATATACATATATTGTTCAAGGACTCTCGGTGGAAACAATTTTATGTTTTAAAAAGTGTTCGTTAATTCGAAACTTTTTGAAAGATAAGTTTCTTTTATTTTCAGTATATCAGTGTTATAATTATTTTGAATGTAATGTTATTTTGTAGAAAAACGAATCGAGGATAGGATCGAGATGTATGAAACAATAAGAATAATTTAGACGTTAGAAAACATTATCAAGCTTGCGCATTTCAAGGCAATTGAAAAACATCATTGTTCACAGAGATTTCAATATTGAATATTAAAAATTCTCGTTATTGATTGTAATTCAATTTGAATCATTGATTATTGCAGCATAACTAGTTCTCCAGAAGACCCAGTCTCATTAACAAATATCAATGTAACAATTATTGGAACACACACATTGTACAAAAGTTCAGGTTATTTTTTTTAGATAAATTATATTTTCGAAGCCTGTTCTTATAACGAGAAATAAAAATGCAACATATTCACAGCCAATAACATAAATCGACGTCCTTTCACGAGTTAATTTAAATCTCATTTTCAATCGTTTTAAACTTCACACTTATGTCAAAGCGATATTTCTATTTTACCGAATCAAAAATATTTCTGACCTCAACAAGTGTTGCATAGGAACCGTTTTATAAAATAGTAAAATATTTCAAAACAAATTTCGTGGGGACTGTCGACGAACTTCAGACTCCCGCAAAACTCGGTTTCATGGAACGAAAAAATTGGTATTCGTCAAAGCATTCACAGAAAAATCGTTTTATAAAAAAAAGATAGGATTTTCAAAACAATTTGATAAATGAAATCGACCAACTTCAAACTCTCTACAAAAAATAACACACATTTTTAAAGATCCGCAAAAATCACTGCCTGAAAACGTGCTCATACTGAGACCACTTTATGAAGTCATGTAGTATTTTAGAACAAAGATGACAAGCCATATCTACTAGAACTAGGTTTTATCAAAACAGAAGGTTAAGATCTGTAGAAATGGTCATATAAAAATCGTTTTAAAAAATAGCGAAACATTTAAAGATAAATTTGATAATCGATATAGAAGGTGTCCCAAAAATGTCTTGCAATCTGGATCTTTTTCATTAGCGAAAATTCAATTCGCGGCTTTGTTTATGAGTTATTAATGAAAAATAGAGGCGAGATCAGCTGGTGCGAGACGGCCGAGCCAATGAGCGGAGCTGGGTTTGGTCTGGCCGCCTTGCGCCAGCCAAGCTCGCCTCTATGTTTCGTTAATAACTCGTAAACAAAGCTGCGGATTGAATGTTCGCTAATGAAAAAGTTACTCCAAATGACCTTACGAACTCCCCATTTCCGGATTGCAAGATATTTTTGAAAGACCCTGTAGATGATCTGTAGACATTCTAAAAAAAAATAACGTCCACGTTTATAGAAGCGTAAAAATCACTGGCTGTGAATGTATGTGAAACAAATTTTGCAATCATAATCGACCAACTTCAGACTTTGTTACAAAAATATCACCACTTTTAAAGAATCAAAAACGCCACCCAGTGCTAAAGCTCGCAAAGCAAAACCATCAAAAATAATTGTCCTCAACCAATTATGAATCGTTTTTACGCTTGTTTTTGGCTGCAAAAGCCTGCACTAAGCGTACACCTAAAAAAAAAAAAAACGAAAAAACATCTCAGTCCTACCTCAGATTCCCCTCCCAGCCAAGCACCGTGACTAACAGAATCTGCGACTGTTGCAGACAACCTCGACCAATTCAAGCTAGTGTTCTACGGAACGGAAACGTCGCTAGAGTTGGACGACGAGCTGGACAGGGACAAGCCGGTGCCATCGGTGAACCGAGTGGAGGAGATCCCGGACAATTCGGCGATCGGCGCGAGGCACAACGCGGTGGATACCGAGGGCGATCCATGGATGGACAGCCAGCAGGTGGAGCGCGTGTCGCATCCTGAGGTACAAAGACCAACGACGGAGAACCAGACAAGCGGCTGCAGTTCGGTGGACCCTGGAAATGGCAGGTGCCTAGGTGGGTGCCTCATTCTACTCCTTCTAGCCTACTTGACCTGTGAGACCAGCTGGGGGAGCCTGGTGTCCAGCTGGCGGGAGCCGACGAGTGTCCATAGCCGTGGGGACCTCGTCGAGGTCTCCCCGGGTCCAGGCTGGACGTCGTTGAGCGAAAGAAGCTCGACCAAGGTGTCCGATACGAGCTCGGCGCTCGACAGGTCGTCGGGTGCTCCCCGGTGCTCATGATGACATCCCTGGACGATCGATACCTTGGTCTCTCGGAGCACGGTCTAGCCGTGCTCGTCGAGAGATACCTCCCATGCCAGGTGTCGACGCGTTCGTTCAAACTTTGTGTGTTGTGATCCCCCAAGAAGCGAAGCGAAGCGAGCCGCCTTCTCATCGACGTATTTCCTCGATTATCGCTGGAGAACGGACTCCGAGGATGTGCCGAGCATCGAGCTTAAGACAGACACGAAATGACGAAAACCAAACGGGAAATTGTCCTATGGGCTGATCTGAGATAGATAGATAGAGAGAGAGAGAGAGAGAGAGAGAGAGAGAAAGAGAGAGAGAGAGAGAGAAAGAGAGAGAGAGAGAAAAAAAGTACTTTCCATCGGAAAGGCCCGATCACTAACTTGTGTTGCTCTCTAGGGTTAGGATTTAGTTCAATTAAGTGTACCTCGTCTACGACGGACCTCTGTGACTGGTACGGGTGTAGGAAAGAGATGTCTGAACGAATGTGCGCTGAGAATGTGACGGCAACCTCCGCAACGAGACGGATCGGTCGACCCGGAGCCAGCAATCCCCAACAGCGTCGATCCCTGAACGTTTATGATCCTATTCTTTTGAATATGTAGCNACACCTAAAAAAAAAAAAAACGAAAAAACATCTCAGTCCTACCTCAGATTCCCCTCCCAGCCAAGCACCGTGACTAACAGAATCTGCGACTGTTGCAGACAACCTCGACCAATTCAAGCTAGTGTTCTACGGAACGGAAACGTCGCTAGAGTTGGACGACGAGCTGGACAGGGACAAGCCGGTGCCATCGGTGAACCGAGTGGAGGAGATCCCGGACAATTCGGCGATCGGCGCGAGGCACAACGCGGTGGATACCGAGGGCGATCCATGGATGGACAGCCAGCAGGTGGAGCGCGTGTCGCATCCTGAGGTACAAAGACCAACGACGGAGAACCAGACAAGCGGCTGCAGTTCGGTGGACCCTGGAAATGGCAGGTGCCTAGGTGGGTGCCTCATTCTACTCCTTCTAGCCTACTTGACCTGTGAGACCAGCTGGGGGAGCCTGGTGTCCAGCTGGCGGGAGCCGACGAGTGTCCATAGCCGTGGGGACCTCGTCGAGGTCTCCCCGGGTCCAGGCTGGACGTCGTTGAGCGAAAGAAGCTCGACCAAGGTGTCCGATACGAGCTCGGCGCTCGACAGGTCGTCGGGTGCTCCCCGGTGCTCATGATGACATCCCTGGACGATCGATACCTTGGTCTCTCGGAGCACGGTCTAGCCGTGCTCGTCGAGAGATACCTCCCATGCCAGGTGTCGACGCGTTCGTTCAAACTTTGTGTGTTGTGATCCCCCAAGAAGCGAAGCGAAGCGAGCCGCCTTCTCATCGACGTATTTCCTCGATTATCGCTGGAGAACGGACTCCGAGGATGTGCCGAGCATCGAGCTTAAGACAGACACGAAATGACGAAAACCAAACGGGAAATTGTCCTATGGGCTGATCTGAGATAGATAGATAGAGAGAGAGAGAGAGAGAGAGAGAGAGAGAAAGAGAGAGAGAGAGAGAGAAAGAGAGAGAGAGAGAAAAAAAGTACTTTCCATCGGAAAGGCCCGATCACTAACTTGTGTTGCTCTCTAGGGTTAGGATTTAGTTCAATTAAGTGTACCTCGTCTACGACGGACCTCTGTGACTGGTACGGGTGTAGGAAAGAGATGTCTGAACGAATGTGCGCTGAGAATGTGACGGCAACCTCCGCAACGAGACGGATCGGTCGACCCGGAGCCAGCAATCCCCAACAGCGTCGATCCCTGAACGTTTATGATCCTATTCTTTTGAATATGTAGCCGTCTTCTCGGCCCTGGCGCCGATGAATTATTCAGCCTCGATGTATATCCGGTGTGTGTCTTGGAAGCAATACCGTTCGACCGCGCCATTATTCCGGCGAGTCGCTATCTTCGGCAACTGCTCAATCTCGATTGCTACTCCAGCCGGGTCCATGAAAGTTAGAACAAGGCTGCTCGAAATCGTTGATTCTATCTCGCTTAGACTGATACTATCTAGGTTCGCCGTGACGAGGATCGCTGCTCCCGTTGATCGATCCACGTACACCGTTTCGCACAGTTCAGGAACATCTCGCGACGCTTTTCTACGAGACTCGACGGTACCACCCCCGCGATACTGCCAGTACGAGGACTTCACTCATCGGTGGATCGCCCGCGATCCAAGACGAAAAACTGCCTCGCGTTACTTTAGTATTACTGTCGTCGGCAACATCAGGAACCGCTTCGAAGACTCGCTATGCAATCGCTAACTCGCTCGTTCAATCTCGCCAGGTCTACGATTGTCAGGACAACGATCACGAGGGCGGTGATAATGCTACTTGAATGCCAGTTCCATGGATTACGCGGGGATCGATCAAGTTGCCGTCGTTACCATCGAATCTAGAAACGAATACGGCGTTCCGTGATTGTTTGACAAACATCGGTTCCTCGTTGAACAGCGTGGTTTTATTACGTCCAATTGCTAGGGAAATTGGACGTGAGACTTTTTCGGGAAATCGACTGGCGAAACTAGCGCAAGAGATCGTCGAAGTTTCGATTATTTCCGCTATTTCTGATCGTTCCTCGATGAAAATGTGCTCTTCGGTGATCCCGTATGGGCGAGGATAGTTTTAGAGAAAACGATGATCATGGTTGCAACGATATGACTCGATAGCATCGTTTAAAACGAGTCCAAGAAGCTAAAAATTGATTCCCGATTTTAAAGATCCACGCTAAAAATGTGTCAGTTTGCAGGAGATAGCTTCACGAAGAACGTCGCAGTCAAGTTGGTCACTAAGATTTGATAAAATTGTTGAATATATATTCAATGTATGATCGTATCGACATTAACGTGCTCAAATTATTCACAGAAATAATGGCATTCTATTAAACTCCTATTTCTTACAATTGATGTAAACAATGTTTCTGTCGCGCATCAAAACTCTTTCGCTAAATGAATGTTGATAAAGACATATTGACGAAGACATTCTCAAGGAAGACGTGGAAAATGAGGGGCCAACATAGCAACAAAGCTTTTCACTGAAAACTATGTTTCACTGTTTTCGTATTGGTGAATATATAGCTCCCAAAGAACATGAGAAACGAGTGGCTAGAGTCATGGAGAATAAGACATTTTACTGTGTCTGTATCGAGGAAAACATTTTCATAGAGAACGTCAGAATTTAATAGCTAGGGTCAATCATCATCCACTGAGAATCTGTTTATTTCTTGCATACTGAAAATGACCTAAGAAAATCGTGGATGTGGTTAGTGTACTCTAAAAAACTGAACTGGATTTCAAAATTATGAAAGAAATAGTGAAGAAAATGTTAAAATTCTCGACGAAAATCAAAGAAGTTGTTCAAGAATCTGAAAGAAACTTCGAGGTATTCATGGTAAGAACAATAATCACGCAATGACGGAACGCAGTAAAGTTAGGCTATACAGTAGTGCACGGTTAAATTTACATCGAGCCAACATATAAATTCTGACGTAGGGAACTATAAGCAGATAGAAGTTCGGCATTTAATGGGACACTGGGACTGGAAACTAAACGTGCAATAAACGAAACTTCACTTTCAATAACTATTGTCCTACTATTGTCCTATCAATGGTCATTTGAGATTCTTCTGATTAAAGTGAGTCCAGATGCAATGTGAATCAAATTAATTTAAGCTATTCAATTAATTTAAGCTATAATTAACATAATGGATACCGCATTGGTCACATATGGCTGACACAAATTTTTGATTAGGTTTTAAAATCCACTTTTATCGTGACATATTCGAACAAACTAAATTTCGCTAGGATGTTTAGAATGCAATAGAGTTAAAATTCCATCTACGATGGTAAATTTGAACTCTCCACTTTGATTAAATAAATTACTTAAATCTCATAGAAATTTTTGGAGTTCATTCTCTCTCTCTCTCTCTCTCTCTCTGTTAACGTATTCTCTCTGTTAGTATCTCGAAACGGAGTGTTTGGACTCATTTTAATTAAAAGAATCTCAGCTATCAGTTGGTGGTACAATGATAAAACTCAGACAAAAATGACTGAAAATAAAATTTTCTTTCTTCCATCTTTACTTTGTCCAATTTTCTTCTTTTCGCTGCTGTCATTTTCTAGTCTTGCCTACCGACATAACGTCTCGCCGAGTTCGAGACACTGTTCTGGGAAAACATGAGCCTGATACGCGTAAATTTAACCGTGCATTACTGTACACAGGAAAGCAACAGCCATACTGTATCAGGCTGGCGAGTAGTTTCGCAGGCGCGACCGGATAAAGCGGAATAATATTTTAATATGTCATCCAGAGCGGAGAATTTGTCCGCGTCCAAACTTCGGTAGTTATTCTCAGCGTATTGATTGATGAAACGAGCCAACGCATCCCTCGAGTCCCTCTCATCCGTCTCTTTCATCCCCGACCCATTCTGCCTCTTGCCTGCCTCCCCTTTCCGCATCGTTCCTCCTCCTCTCTCTCTCTCTCTCTCTCTCTCTCTCTCTCTCTTTCTCGCGGTCTTTTCACTTTTATCCGCCGGTTCTTCTTTCCTTTATGCGCCCCATTCCCTCTGTCTCTTCGCTTCCGCGCTCTTTCTGCCAAACTTTCGCCGGCCGCAATTTTACTTTGCCCGCAGGGCCGACGTCAGCCGGGCTATCAGCGCCGCCGATAGAAGAAGGCAGTCACGGTCGGCTGACGCAAACAGAGCCACGAGCAGGACGCATCGGCAACGATGTTGGCCTTCATCGCCGTGACTACCGCATTACTTAAATAGAAAATTAATTAGTGTGATCTNTAGAAGTTCGGCATTTAATGGGACACTGGGACTGGAAACTAAACGTGCAATAAACGAAACTTCACTTTCAATAACTATTGTCCTACTATTGTCCTATCAATGGTCATTTGAGATTCTTCTGATTAAAGTGAGTCCAGATGCAATGTGAATCAAATTAATTTAAGCTATTCAATTAATTTAAGCTATAATTAACATAATGGATACCGCATTGGTCACATATGGCTGACACAAATTTTTGATTAGGTTTTAAAATCCACTTTTATCGTGACATATTCGAACAAACTAAATTTCGCTAGGATGTTTAGAATGCAATAGAGTTAAAATTCCATCTACGATGGTAAATTTGAACTCTCCACTTTGATTAAATAAATTACTTAAATCTCATAGAAATTTTTGGAGTTCATTCTCTCTCTCTCTCTCTCTCTCTCTGTTAACGTATTCTCTCTGTTAGTATCTCGAAACGGAGTGTTTGGACTCATTTTAATTAAAAGAATCTCAGCTATCAGTTGGTGGTACAATGATAAAACTCAGACAAAAATGACTGAAAATAAAATTTTCTTTCTTCCATCTTTACTTTGTCCAATTTTCTTCTTTTCGCTGCTGTCATTTTCTAGTCTTGCCTACCGACATAACGTCTCGCCGAGTTCGAGACACTGTTCTGGGAAAACATGAGCCTGATACGCGTAAATTTAACCGTGCATTACTGTACACAGGAAAGCAACAGCCATACTGTATCAGGCTGGCGAGTAGTTTCGCAGGCGCGACCGGATAAAGCGGAATAATATTTTAATATGTCATCCAGAGCGGAGAATTTGTCCGCGTCCAAACTTCGGTAGTTATTCTCAGCGTATTGATTGATGAAACGAGCCAACGCATCCCTCGAGTCCCTCTCATCCGTCTCTTTCATCCCCGACCCATTCTGCCTCTTGCCTGCCTCCCCTTTCCGCATCGTTCCTCCTCCTCTCTCTCTCTCTCTCTCTCTCTCTCTCTCTCTCTTTCTCGCGGTCTTTTCACTTTTATCCGCCGGTTCTTCTTTCCTTTATGCGCCCCATTCCCTCTGTCTCTTCGCTTCCGCGCTCTTTCTGCCAAACTTTCGCCGGCCGCAATTTTACTTTGCCCGCAGGGCCGACGTCAGCCGGGCTATCAGCGCCGCCGATAGAAGAAGGCAGTCACGG